ATTAATTTTTTTGGTTTTGTGTGTAGATTTTTTAAACAAATGTAACCCCCGTCCCGGGGGGGGGGGGGGGGGGAACTCCGCATATGAAATGGGTAAGGGTGCTCGTAGGAAATTTTGAATTAAACCCCTAGAAGAGACCGATCCGGGCATAATCCAGGCTCTTTTTGACCCCTAAAAGAGACCATGTTAAAACACAGACAATACACATATTTTAATATTTTTTCACATGCAACCCTAAACGAGACCTTCACAGCTAAATATGATGGCATTTTGCCCGGAACACCCTAAGTGGGACCAAAATCCGAAATTTACACCCCTAAGCAAGACGACGAGCATCTCCACCCCTTTTATATGCAGAGTCCCTCCCCGGTGACCTTCAGCGAAATTCTGGTGTGCAACCTGCAACTTGCAACCTGCAACCTTACTTTATACCCTCTCAGAATGATCAAAATAAGGTTTTACAATGAGTGAATGGGGTTAAGAGCACCCACGTTGCTGGCCATTCTTTCCTTCTGCCTCCCCCAACAAAGTGCACCTCTTTTTTGGCTTTTCATGCATGTCAGGGATGCTCTTTAAGCAGCTGAGCTAAAATTAAGGAAGTATCCTGTCCAAGAAAGTTTCCCATGGAAACATTTATCTGGATTATAATCTACGGTATATTTTTATGATACCCTAATGTTCAGGTTCAAACACGTGTCATTCATTGTCCAATCAAACTTGAGATAAGTGCTTGGCATAATTTTCACACCAAAATCAAGACAAAAACAAAATGAGCAAGTCGAAAACCGCTAAAAAAAAAGGAACATTAGTCTATGTGGGGGATCGCAAATATAATTATCAGCTTCCGATAGTGAACTGAGGCTGGGATCGTGAACTTGAATTGCAAAGCGCCCAACACCAGGCTTTAAAAAAATAACTAACATTTGTTACGTGAATGTTAAGGTCTGTGTAGCGTGTAGCCTGAACAGATTTCCAATTTCTTTACTTACACTGTGACCCTTCCCTCAATTTCTCCAGCAGCAATGATATCTCTGTTAGGATGGAAACTCAAATCGAAGACTTGACTTTGGAAACTAATGTCACTTGGTACACCATCTTCTGGCACCTTATAAGAAAACAGAAATAAATAGTTGTATGTAAATTTGAAAAGCTTCATTATTCTTTTTAATGATAAGTAGCAAAGTGATATTTAATTAGTGTTCATCAAACCTCCTTTGAACCACTTGATTGACCCGCCATTTTTCAATCTCGTTGGCAGAGGCTGTGATACACTTTAATAGGCCTAACTTAAAGTACCTACCCAAGACAATACCGTTTTCACAGTGATATGTGTATCCCCGTGATATGTGTATCCCCATGGGATATGTGTATCCCGGGTGGGGATACAATAAACACTGATGCTCATCCCAGGGGCACCCAACGAGAATATAGTTCAAAACCATTTAAACTAAGCATTGTTAAACGTATTTTATGATTTAAACGGTAGATATAGGCATATTTTTATCCCCTAAAAATTTTTCATCTGTTCGGATTTCTTAGCTGAAAGTCTAGTGATCCGAAAATTCTAGGGATCAAAACTTACCTTTTCGAAAATTTCAGCCAGGAAAAGGCTCCCGAAAATTCTAGGTGGCCTTTTTTAGGGTAAATATCCGTTTAAAATGGGTAATTATACCATTTTGTAGATGTTCGAAAATTCTAGGAGAGGCAGGCAAGCAAGAAATTTTACAACAAATGCTCCGAAAATTCTAGTTCTCAAATCGTCTGCCGAACAGATATTTTCCCGAAAATTGCCGTTGGGTGCCCCTGTCATCCACGAAACAATAAGGAAATATCTTCTCTTGCTAAAGGAAATGTCGTCGATATCATCTAACATAACTAGTAACACAACTAGGGTTAAGACAGGAATCAAACAACATGCAAAGGCGGAATATTGTGGCGCTCGCGGAACACATATCACTGACCCGGCGCAGAGACATGTAAATCCCCGGTTTTTTCTACTCTTGCTAAAGATAATATCGTCCATATAATCTATCAGGACAACTAGTAATACAACTAGGTTTACAGGAATCAAACAACTTAAAAGGTGGACTATTATGGTGCTTGCACGGGGGGATACACATATCACTGGACCAGCGCAGAGATTCAGATATGTGTATCTCCTCTCTATTTTTTTTTACTTTTCGAGTTATCCCTTGCTGAATGAAATTTTGTCAGTCATACTTATTTAACGCGACTAGCGACATATGAATGATAATCACGTTCGATAAGGAGCCGGGAGCGAGAACGAATGTTTACATCAACATTGCGGCCCACGAAGAAGTAAACTCGCCAGAGACAGCTTTGCGATTATTTTGTCTCGAATCGTTGCTCTTTCGTCGATTGTGTTGCTCGTAATCTTGAATCATTTGTAGTCCCTTTGACGATGATTCGCAAAATTCACAAAAACAACAGAAATAAAACCGACACTTGTTTGGAGGGGTGGGGGGAAGGGGATACACATTTCACTGGCAGCCGTATTGGAGGGATACACATATCACTAGGGATATGTGTACGGGGATACACATATCACGGGGATACACATATACCGCATCTTCTGGAACCGACAATACAGTTGTCTGAAACCAGTTGCTCAATATAGGCTGTATCGATAGCTGAGGTAATGGCGATGTCCGAGAGGACACAAACTAACTCTCTTATTTCAGTACCGTTTGATAGTTTCGTTTCCTTTATTGCTTCTTTGCCTTTGCTTTGTTTTGTATCATGTGTGACCATTGCTACAGTCTGGCATTTTGAAGAAACCACATGGACCCATTGTCAAGTGAGTACAATTATGCGAGCGTTGATACTAAACTTGTCGCTATTCCTACCTCGTAAGAGTTTATGACAAGCTTGCAGGTACAAAACCTCTAGATCTCACTGAGTGCCGAATGCTATATCCCTTCGAAAAAAACACGCGCACTGCGTTTGCCACCTTTTTTGGACTCGACAAGATGAAGACTAAAGGAGGTTCATTCGGTCTGGCTGTGAATGAACAAAATAGGTGGTTTTCATGCAATCTCGGGAGACACAAATAACAATGGTGAAATGAACAAATGCTGGTGGACAAACAAAGCGAGCTAATGAGCGGTCTTTTGTTTACCGTCCACGAGCATGGCGGCGATGACTTAACGTGAAAACGACAATTGTGCCACGTCGTGACCAACTCATTTTTTTGTGTTCATTTTATTAACTTAGGCCATCCCCCTTTTTTTTGGTTTCAGCATCAAATGCGTTTCCTGATGTTGAGTCGGTCGATCGGATTGAAAAACAAAAGCCTAAAAGAAAAATTACAAGAAGTCTCTGAATAGGAGGCCCTGGTACCCCAGGATGGCGTTAAAAGTTAACATTCACCCCACATATTTGGATTAACAAAATGCACAATATACGTACTGTAAAAAATGTTCTTGTTTTTGTTTCTGTTTTTCTCTATGCTGTTACAATGCTCATTTGTCAGATTAAAACAGGAGCCCATCCTGATTAAAAGAAGTATTTCAAGTGAACAACAGTTAAACTACGTCGTAACTTTTTTTTTTTCGGAAAATGCCAAAAATTTGGGTCAGTCAGACGACGCTAAACAGAGAAAAAAACAAAGGATGGCCTTAAGCTTAAGCTTAAGCTTTAATCTAATCAAAAATCAGTTTTTTGAAATAAGCTTAAGCTTTAATCTAATCAAAAATCGTTTTTTTTTTTATCTAAGCTTATGTATAGGCTAAAATCAGGAGTGGACTGTGGACTCTGGACTCTGGACTTTCCTTTATATATGTTCTGTATAGAAAATTGTGAAGGGATAAGGGGGGTTGGTGGGGGTTAGGGGGGATGCAGTAGGGTTAGGATTAGGGCCTTAGGGGTCCAGGAACAAACTCCTATTTTTTTCTTATCATCTCATGCATTTCGTCCCTATTTACTGTAAATCTATGACTAATTCATACTTAAGCTATTACTGATCTTGCAACACTTTATTACTGTCAAACTCAGGAAACCGTGAACGCCTGAAAAATTTCAGGAATGTTGATTGTGTACTGGCCAATCACAATAAAGTTCAGGATACGTAAGCAAACCTCAAAACCACATATTAATTACTGCTGCTGTTTGCGGTTTAGTTATCTTGCACGTTATTGGCTTTTTACTCGCAACACAATAACATTTCATAAATATTTCTGGTGTTCATGTTTAGTGACTTTCACAGTAAGTGAGCCAAAGAAATATACTGTTATACCAAGAGCTAGAAAACAAACAATGGCTCTGGAAAGCATAAATTCCTCCTGTCAGTCAATATCAGAGTTAGAGATTTTTTATTAATCTACAACAGGCCTGTTATGTTTATATCTTAAAGACCTGTTGACGTACAAGTCTTTTATTTATTGGGAAAATTATCAACGTCAATTATGTTATAGTTATTATCTTAAAGTTCACTTTTTTAGTGCTGCCATTTTGGTGAAATTCTCTCAAATTGTGCCAGATTCTCAAGACTATAAAAAGATTCCAATTTTGACATTTTCAATAGTGAACAAGCAAGCTTGACATAACCACCTTCCACCACTCCACCTTCATTCACGGAAGGAGGAGGTGTGCGTGCGAAACAGCCTGGATGAGTAACATGTTTGTAAAGAAATAGAAAAAAAGAAGGAAAATCAGCTAAGAAAAGAAAGAAAGTGGTGGAAATCAGTGGAAATACATATATCCGGTAGCTACCTACTGCACCCCCCTATCCCCCACCTACCCCTCCCCATCCCTTCACATTTTTCTATACAGAACATATATAAAGTAGAGTCCAGAGTCCAGGGTCCAGTCCTGGTTTTAGCCTATACCCTTATGCTCATTTCCTATCCTAAGAAATTTACAACTAATTGAATCTAACATCTGCGGTTTGACCTTAATGAGATTCTAAACCTCTGATAATTGATTGTGTGTGCACTTGTCAGTGGAGATAGCACTGGTATTGAACTTCTATGAAATTAGAATTGCGTTGTGCTCCCTAAACAACAAAATAAACAGATCATAAGTCCCAGAAGGTGACTCCCTTACAAAGCTATAAAGGGGGCAGTGATACTCATGGGTATTTTGGCTTAATTTTCAGTTTGTTAACTTAGAAAAATGGCATTGAAGGCTTGGAGTGTGTCTTATAACCGAGTGCGCCTTCTAACCAAAAAATAACAGTAGATAGGAACTGTTTTAGCTTGGTTAGAAATACATAAAAAACAAACAAAACAAAAAAGTTTTTGTAGATTGACGTTGTCTTGTTTATATTTGTTTAGGTTCCAAACTACCTACCATCAATAAGTGCTGCGATAGGAGGTCATCAACCAGAGAAGTTTATTTGGCACATTGGAATTGCTTTGCATTGTCTTCCACGTATATTATTGTTCCCAGCGGCAGTTCATAAACATTACCAAAGTACCCTGTCAGGCCGGAAACACAATTTAACAACATGGTGGTTTTGGCTGCTCAACCTTTTAACCAATATTTCACAAGTAGTGGAAAATGGAGCTCTCTTAACACTAACTTATATCTCTTCCAGTGACAACTTTGGTGAGCTTCTCAAGGGTCTTTGATGTTCATAATATTATTATTGATATGGTTGGTGCTGGGCCAATTTGTTATGAGAGGACAGGCCCTCATGTCTTAATACTATTGTTCTAAATATAGTTGGTAAATTGTGCTGGGTTTCTGAGAGATCACACCACATGCATGCAACTAGACAGGGTTAGCTATGTTGTGGCAGTTATGTGATTTCTACAGGCTGACAATAAATCAGTGATAGTGCATGCCTTTGGATGGATTATAGTGCTTTATCAATTCAAGTTAGGTATTTAATTTATAGTTTGTAACTGATGTCCTTAATTCTTTTACGTGCAACAAAATAGACTTTTAAAACAGAAAAATCCAATGAGAAATATAGCATGAAGTAAGGAAAATATTTCCCACCCTTGGTTAATTTGACAAATTATTGACAACTTTACTTCTTTATGTTGTCATTATCATTATTATTATTATTATTATTTATTATTATTATTTTTTTATGTTGCAGATGTCCATGAAGGATCTTTTATAGTGTTTATGGTTTGTTCAATGATCTACATGTTTTTCTCTTGTGTTTTGTTGAAGTTGACATCAAGCCAACCAATCACCACAGAGGTTTGCAACATAACTTTATTTATCACCATAAGGATTGTGGGGGGGGGGAGTGGTTGGTGGATGTGGTGCTGGGGACGAGGTGGGAGTAGAGAGGTAATTGAGAAGTATTTACTCTTCGGTCATTATGATTTCCAAATCACTAACTTTTGTATGTCATTGATCATCAATGGAGTAATATTTCTAATAAAATAAATAATTACTTTATAGATGTAATTAATTGTTGCGCTCAAGTTTCTGCGTTAATTCAACTATTAGATGGGGAATCAAACATCTCGGGATTTCTTTTAGTTCTACTTTTTCTTATTTTTTTTTAGGAAAGTTGTTGAGGCCTCAACAGGGGTCACCTTTGAAGTATCATTTTTTAATTCTGTTAATGAAAGTACAGTAGCCTGTGGTCACCCTTATTGTAGGTCGGAATACTCCCATATCCCTGGTGCTTAATGAAAGCCACGGTGTGAGTGTCTTTGTTACAAAAAAAAATGTTCATTAGCAAATGTTTCTTTATTATAATAAATTTTCAAGTTTGTTTGCTCTTGTCCTTTCCACAGGAACATGGATTTTTAAAAAGAAAAGTCTTCATTGTGTTTTTCAACTATTGTTCATTTGGCCTGGCTGTCTATTTCTACTTTAGACATGATGGGTACTGTGAACCAGGAGGTATCCTTTGAAACTTTTCACTCAGCTTCTGGAAAAAATTAAGCTGCTATTCATGATTTACATAATTAACTTTAGTTCTTTATAGTATTAGATTGGCCAAACTGGTTTTAGCTTCAAAGTCTGTCGAGCGCGTGTGAGAAAAAATGTAGACCACGTGAGATTTTTTGATCGCCAGTGCAAAGGGGGTAGATGTGGGGGAAGATTTTCTTTCTCGCCCTCCATGCTTGTTCTCTTGCTTCTCACTCGCTCTCACGCACTAGCCGATGTTTTCAAAAAAGAACAAAAAGAAAAATAAAACAACGTCTGTGCACAGGCTAGGTTTTAGCACATACATTGCAAGCATTTTTAATAAAGACACACATACAATATAACAGCACCCGTAACAGCCCTCTATTAGAAAGATACCATATTATAATAATAGGCCAAGATGATTCTGTCTGGGGTACTGTAGGGAGGCTTGTTTAAGTGAATAATAATGTGACATGTCAAAATTAATGTAGGTGAATTTTTTTAAACCAGGTTGATTCTCTATATTTTTTGTCTCCTGTACCTAATTATTATATATTAGGGCTAAGAGACAAGGGAAATTGAGAATCAACCTACGTTAAAAAATTAACCTGAATTTTCTTTTGACCTGTAACAAATAAAATACCAGGGTGTTCATTAGGCATCAAATTCTCCATTTACTACGCAGATTTCCTCAGCTAACATTCAGTACCCTAAGACTATTTTTTATTCAGCCGTGGAGCCTTTTTCAGAATATTCTCCTGTAACGTTACACCCTTCCTGCTACAAGAATTCTTAATGAAAAGCCTTCTGTATGTAATGTTATATTTAACTGAAATTTTAGAAGAAGCATGACAAAGGGCTCCATGAAAACGTCCCCATGGCCCTGCACTCATTTTTATTTTGGAGAGAACTTTTTCATGAAGGCTGAAGCCTTTTATCATGCTTCATAAGGGCACGCATACTGTAAAGTGCAATCATTGTGACCAGCTATTAGTTGGTAGCCAATGTGAACAAAACTGTTGAAAGGCGCTGTTATGTCTTTTGCTTCGGAGTCCAAACTTTTTAGTCCTGTTAATTTAGGTTTCTGGGAAACCCATGTACATTCGCCTAATCCTCCTCTTTGCCAACATTTTTCCCTAAGTGAGAAGCATTAATGTTGGCTTAGGGAAGGGGTGGGTGGGCAGTTTTGCAGAAACTTAACTTGATCCACTAGGACTTTACAAATCTTGAATTTAAAATAATACATTTTGTTTTAGCTGCAAGCTAGGCATGGTTAATTCCTAAGCTACATCTATGCTAACTGCTTTTAATGATCAAAACTTTGTTAAGTTCTTTACCTTAACACATTCTGTAGTTTATACCCTGTTTGCGCTATGTGAGTACTGCACAATTGTGTCAAACATACTTTTCCACTGGTTTAGCTTGACAACTCATTTCAAGGGAGCTGTGTTATTGTTGGCCTATGGTGAAAGCGACACATCAAAGATGTCTTGAACAAGGTGATGCCGCTGATCTTAATAAGCCTGCAGCATCAGGCATGGATTTATGCGGACTTGCAGCTCGACACCATTCTACAGATAGAAAAATGGAGGATACACCATTCCCTTCCTCACAATGGGCTTATGCTTTGTAAGAAACAATTAGTCCATTCTGTCCTGGATTCATGCATGCTAAGCTGGCCAAGGCTGTGCAGTTGGTAAGGCATCCAGGCTGCTTGTGAAAAATATAGAGGTGGTGTATGGTTACCTACTTTTTGGGTCTTGAAAATATTGCATCAGACCTCAAAACTTAGAAGTCAACAACCAGCAGTTCGATGCATCAGTTTTGCATCTCGGATGTTGTGAACAAGCATAATAATTGTGGAATGAGGCTGAGGCTACTTTTTAGCCTATGGTTGTCCATGATTAGCCTGTTTGCAAACAGGATCAATAAACTAAGCAATACCATAAATAATATGTCTCATTTACACATGTAAAAGAGAACGTTACACTATGCAATGTCTGTACAGAAGCTATCTATGACACAAGTTACAATGCAGCAGACAACTAGATGTCTTTCAAGAAGATGTGGGTGAGCCGCTTATTTAAAATGCAGTAAAGGAACGATGATGATGAGGTCTGGTTCACGAGCATTGAAGCAGATCTGTCTAATAGTTAGCATAAATAAACAAATAGCCACAGATCACTTAATGTACACAATATTTAAAATGTTATTTTCCACTCACATCAAGACAGGAATAATAAGAAAAGTGCTTTTTTGGTGGCCATTTTCATCAGATACTTGTGAACAGAGTTACAATCCAGAGGAGAAAAAATCTGTTTTTGCAATAAAATAGATATAGTCATGTGGATGAGTCTGTCGTCCTCTTTCTTTCTTACAACTTTTTTCCCCATAGTGATCACACTTTTACCAGGCATCTATCTACTGGAAGAAGACATTACTTGATAACCCGTTTTTGTCACGCAACGCTTTTGAGCGAGCTGTTCTCATCGGGGGGTGGTGGTGGAGGTATAGGTGGTGGTGGGGTAAGACGATCCTTTGTCACGAGTTTTTAGTGTCGTCACGCAACGCTCCACCACACAAGCGTGACTACTCGGTCGCGGGCCAACATATCAAGCTGCACGAAGCCGTTGAACAACAACATTTTCTAGTCCTTTCGAGGAAGGCGATGACTCGAAATCTGCAGTTACCATATTTAAAAGCTAAAATAAGACGGACATTATAAAAATCCAGACGTTCATTTTCACATGATGTATAATTCCAATCAATCAGTTATCATGGCCGTATCTATGGACACTTTGGCGATTTGCATTTGCTTGTTGCCCCTTCTTTCCTTCCTCTCGTGTGCCGTCATTGCTGTTATCTGGCATTTCAATTCAACAACACGGACCCACTGCAAGGTAAGTTTAAACCTTTAGAGTTCATATTTCTTTCACTAACATGTATGCTTTATACAGAATGGACTTCGTATCGTATCAAGCCCTCAATTTCGGTAGTTAGGCTTATAGCACAAAGATTAATTGGAGTTTTTTTTTAGTATCATTGCATTTTTTCTTCCAAAAGCAAACAGTTCGTCTTAATTTCACAGGAAAAGGGGCCTTATGATATAACTTTTCGATTGTTAATCAATTGAAACTAATTCTTGTCATTTTACGTAAGTTTATTATGGAAATTGCAACAATTTCAGTTTCCTACAATATTTCTCCTTCCATCATTTCCTTGTTGATTTTCCTCACATGTATGTGATTCAATTTTTTCCTTGGTTAGGTTTGAATTTTAATTTCCATTGCTTCAAACTTAAGTCTTACATACATTTACCATGCAGAAAATATAGGGAAATAAAATTTAAACCAGGATAAAATTAAATTACAAAATACGCCAGTATTATTAATACATGTAAATACATGTGTGCAAATTATCAATATATTATGGCTTAAAATGACTGATTATAAAAATATGTTGTAGGTTTCAAACTATTTACCATCAATAAGTGCTGCAATCGGAGGACATATGCCTGAGAAGTATATTTGGAGAGTGGGAATAGCTCTGCACTGTCTTCCACGAATTCTTGTCATCCCTTATTCACTTCACAAATATTTTAAGAATACCTTAGCTGGCAGAAAGTATGATTCAACGACCTGGTGGTTTTGGTTACTTAATCTTTCAGCTACTGTTTCAAATTTGGTGGAAAATGGAGCTCTGATAACTTTAACCTATGTTTCTTCCATTGAACACTTTGGTAAGGAGTAAAACCTATCGGTTTTGTTTGTCATTTGTGTTGCGATTGTCTGACACTTACATATTGCAATGTTTCGACCACATAAAACTGAAAGTCTTCACCAGGTGATTACTGTCAATTTACTGAGTTAGTAAGAACTAATTTTATAATTATTTTGTACCATTATTTGCGATCACCTGGGCTGTCAACCCCCCCCCCCCCCCCCCCCCCCCAGTAAAAAAATTTTTTTGTTTTTTTTTTTTTTTTTTGGAGTTTTTTACCATAAAAAATTATTAAGTTTTGCCCACAAAAAAAAGAAAAAATTCCCCACGAGGTTATTTTTTATTTTTTAAGTTATTAAAAAAAAATTTTTTAATTATTTTTTTCCATTTTTTTTGGCAACCCGCGGTGCCGACCCCCCCCCCCCCCCCCACGTCATCAAATATTGAGAATTGATAGGGAAGAAATGATAGATGACATCATATCACATGACAAATGATGTCATTTGTGCCACAAATGCTCGTTGATTCCAATCGACATATACAGCACATGAACAGTTCATATTTAGCCACATTAGAGAGACTCTAATCTGGAGACCGGGAGATCTCCTGGAGTCTCCCGGAGCACTGCATGGTTGTTAGTGATTAATGTATCACAACAATGAGTAAAACCAATTTTGGAAAACGGGGTATAGTAAGTAAAACCAGCATGAAAAACTGGGCGTATTAATATATTGCAGGTTGCAGGTCAGAATTTCATGTTAGACAAGGTCATGTCAGGGCCAAAAGTGTCGTGCAAGATCAAGAAGTAGGCCAAAACCCATGCAGCTCTTCCAGGCCTTCTTAAATCCCAGACCCCTCTTCAGCTTCTGAAAATTAATAAGGAAAAAAGGACTTTCTTGAAAGACTGGTGCAGACGAAGGATGGGGGTCCTCCTGCAATAAGGGACATTGTTATGATGTCGTTGATATCTTTTGGTTAGTGGTGTCATGGCGCATCACATAAGGTTCACTTGAAAACTGAAAATTTTATTTAGGGCCTGGAAGTGGGTTAAACCAGCATTCCCAGGTTTTTTTAAGCCATGGAAAAAGGCCCAAACCGTTCCAGAGCTCTGGAGTCCTAAGAGAAGCTCAACCTCGTTCCCAGTGTTCTCTCCTACCCGCTCTCCTACCTCCCTCCAATATTAGGGCGGGTAGGAGAGAACCCTGGGAACGAGGTTGAGAGGAGCTATTTCTGCCATGCACTTCCAATACAAATTATGTAAATTTATTCTTGTGTGGCAAGTAATTTAATTCAATACTGGTGTGACATTGTGTAACATAATATGAAATTCTGACTTGTAGCACGACCCTGCAATTTACATCTTCTGCTGAAAAACTTAACCTGCATGTAATTAGTATGAAGCTTTTGCTTATTAACCTGCAAGTATGTAGCCATTAATACATGTGCTTTCTAACCCTTGTTGTTTCCCAGGAATTAAACCTGCCACTTTACCACCACCACCTTACAGGCCAGCACTCAACTGACTGAACCTTATATAATCATGCTGTTTTCTAATAACATTCACTAGTTCTAATGAAACATGCACTTTGTGTTTGTTTCAGGTGTTCATGAAGGATCATTTATAACATTTATGGTGTGCTCCATGTTATTTATGCTGTTGTGGTGTATTTTATTCAAGTTGACTGCTACCCAACCAATGACAATGGAGGTGTGTTTGATAAAAATTATTTTTATAGGTGATTTATATAGTACAATTACATCACCTTTAGAAGTACACTGATGGGCCATTAGCCTCCCCGCAGACGTCCTTTGGGGTTCGTTTGTCACGCATGAATGCATGACAAACAAACCCCAAAGGACGTCTGCAGGAAGGCTAATGGGCCATATTATAAACAATTATTGGATGAGGTTTTTGTGATATCTGGAATAATCAAGGTCGAGATACAGCCGTAAGTGTTATCAGCCAAGGCTGACCTTGATTATTCCGGATATCACAAAAACCTCCTCCAATTATAATTGTTTTATTATGCGTTTTTATTTGTTTTGAAGAAAATAATGACAAACACATTGTCACAAGGAACGTGAATCAAGGGCATATTTAGGGGTGGGCCCAGGGGGCTGTGGCCCCCCCTTTTGACCGGGAATTTTTTTTTTTGTAAGTGTGTTGGTCATGGTTCTTTGAGCTTTGTTAGCGGTCCAATCGTTTATTACGTTTACGGGGGGGTGACTCAGAGGGGGGGGGGGGAAAGTTTACTAAGGGGCTTGATGTTAAGGGGGGCAATATTTGAAAATGAAAAGAATGTGAGGGGGGTGGAAAAATTAAGACAAAGGAATGGCCCCCTAAGTATCACCCCCATAATTATTTCCCATGTTTGATTTGTGGTGATGTTTGTGATTTTTCTGTTTTTTCTATTACTGTGTTTATGTTTTGCTTTTATTAGTTTTGATTGTTTTGTGTCTTTGCAGTTTGTGATTTATTGGGGATAGAGATTGGTGGAGGAGGGGAGAGAGGGAGATAGGGGGGGGAGGGGGGGGGGGGGGGTGGGTACAGTTTACTAAGAGGCTTGATGTTAAGGGGGTCAATATTTGAAAATGCACAGAATGTGAGGGGGATCGAAATATTAAGACACAGGACTGGCCCTCTATGTATCACGCCCATAATTATTGCCACTGTATGCTATATCTCTGGCCCCCCTCTATCACAAAATTAATCCTCCGTCTGCCCCTGTGAATTGATATTGTTTTTGCAAATCATGCATTGCACGTATAACCTACAGGTTAGTCAGTTAGCTGCTAGCAGATAGCTTACTCCATCTGTAGGTTGCACTGATTTCCAAAATTAGCTGTAATCTCTTAGCCAATGAGGAGATAGATGGTGAGTACAATGTATAATAACATGATTATATATTTGATGCTGTAATACTTAGATTATTCATTTAAAAAGTAGCGTCAGTAGTTAGGAATGGTTTTAATAATAATTTAATAATACATAATAATAATAATAATAATAATACATACATACATACATACATACATACATACATACATACATACATACATACATACATACATACATACATAATGATGGTGGTGGTGGTGGCAGTGGAACCTTGTTATATGTCCAATTAAACAAGGTTTCTTAATTATATTGATCAAGGTATTTTCCATACATTTTGCTATTTACTGGAGAGGAAAGTAACATGTATTATACCAGTTCATTTTATCAAGGTTTCACTTATGAGCAATCTCTTTGGCAGCTGCTTGGGCCAGAGGGAGAGGTAATTTTAATTATTAACTTATTTTTATTTTTCCTCCAACAGGAATACAGACTATTCAAGAGAAATCTATGCACACTATCCTTAAACTTTTGCTCATTTGGCTTTGCCGTCTATTTCTTCTTCAGACACAATTGGTACTGTGAACAAGGAAGTATCCTTTCCTATACTTTATGTAATTTCAACCAAACCTTGATCTGCTTTCTGGCTCTGGCATCCATAGATGAGGGCGATCAGTAGGTAGAAAGATAGGGGTAGATGCATGGAGGGACCGAGGTAGGGAGGTGGTTAGGCAGGGGTAGGTAGGTTGGTACACTGAAAATACCTAGGGGGAAGACTGTTTACTGTTCCCTGTTTTCCCATAATAATATAATGATATGATTTTTGTGATTGAGCACATTAAAATACTTATCTCTCTGGAGACCCCGCAATAAAATAAAGGGGTATAGAATGGTACCTGGAAAAATGCGAGTCTCAAAAAATTTTGGCCTGATCTCAAAATCTTGGAAGCAAAAACAATGCATGTCCTGCTGAAATATTATTGTGCCTGACTGAACAACTTTGATTGGTGAGGGGTGGGGGAAGGGGTCACTGTGGTGCCAAATCCTCCACATGGGTGTCCTGTGAGTAAGGAAGTGCGAAATTCATGACACTTTTTGTCCAAGATTGTAGCATTGGGGGGTGGTGGCAAGTGTGAATGTACCTAGGTGGCTTGTTACACATGTGGATAGTTAAGCATGCTAGGGAGTTAGTTGCATTCAAGGTAGTGCAAGGTGGGTAGGAGCAAACTATGGAAACCCTCAATTCTAGAATTATTTGGCCTAGACAGGAATGAGCCGCTGAACAGGGTATCAGGTTTTCAGGTCCTGGGTCTTAAACAGGGTATACAATTTCACGAAACAATTACTATAACAAAATTCTCAAATGTGATAGGCTATCAACTGTCCTCATTTCAGCACTAATAGGACAGTACGTGTCATGCCTAAGTAATTTAACTGATTTAGTAACAGAACGGGAACGTCAGTTGACGACGGGGCATGCAAATCAAACAAATGGCTTGACCAATGGCTGAGTGGTAAATTGGGCACCGGAAGTCGCGGTTATTCCTTTCCACGCGCTTAGATGGGTTTTTTTCTTTTTCACTGCTAGCAAAAAAGGCTCTTGGAATTTCTTGTGTTTTGATTTCAAAAAGCCTAAAATATCACAAATTTTGTTATAGTTGTAATACGCTGTAAATTGGTAACAGAACTTCCTGTCGTCTAATTCGGTATGTAGTGATACTCGAATTGGACTCCACTCAGTCCTATTACCATTATTCAGCGTCTTGATCAGAGTGTCTTTTTGTACCGGAAGCCTTAAAAAGATTGTGAAGATTGGCAGTGCGCCGTCTACCAACAATGTATTTGCAAAAAAGTCTAATTCCATGATGTTAGCTTAAAAACACTGAGCTTCTTGTGCGAAACGAAGTGAAGCAGGGTCGTAAAAGTAGGTCTCCTGTCTTAATCAGGGTAGCGATATGAACTCTTTGTCGTGAACAGGTCAACGTTTGAAGGGCTTGGCGAGACAGTCTACCAAAACTTCCCTTGAATGCTCCCTGCTTGATTTTGGGGAACCTAAAACTTTCAGTTGTAAAACTCTACTTAAACTTGACTCCCTATCTCTTGACTTGCTCTAGTTAGTAGGTTCCATTTTTTGTCAACATTTTCCTTTACAAAATTTAATGTTCTGTCACTACAGTGTATACTCTCTTTGCTTTGTGTGAGTACATCACGGTGGTGTCAAACATAGCTTTTCACTGGCATTGTTCATGGATATTCTCAGGAGCAAAGCTTACTTTTGGTTACTTTGAAGGCCTTTTGCCGAAGAAGAACTGAGTACTCATAGTTCTTTGGCTTGCCTGTGTGCACTATTAAACGATGTAGGTTCTTTAGCCTGAGTATCAAGCGTTTCTGGGGAAAAGGGGAAAGATGGAAGCGAAAAAGGGAGAGATAGTCAGGCTATAGGTTCTTTAGTATGGTGACGCGTGTGTGACGGGCTTATGGTATACGTCGCAGGTTTATGTCGCAGCGACGTGTCGCGACGGCCCAATCTTGTGCATTCAGACACAGTGACATGTAGCAACGACAAAATCGCGCATAGTTCACCAATAGGGACGTGTAGCAGCTGCATAATCACGTGCAGTACACACACAGTGGCATGGATTAAGGGACGGACCATTAGAAAAGTTATGGGGGGAAGGGGAATTTTCGAGCCGCAGGAATTTTTTTTCGTTATCAAATTCCCTGTATGAAATTTTTTAAGGCCTTAGCATGAATATTTTTTAGGGTTAATTGGCGTGCAAGAATTTTTTTTCATTTAATTTTCCCTTGCGCGAATTTTTTTTTGTACTTCCCCCCCCCCCCCCCCCAATGTTTTTTATTGTTCCCCCCCCGGGCCGGGGGGCCGCCAAAAAAGCCCCATCGGCGCCCCCAAAAAAAAGAAAAAGAGGGGGGGGGGGGGGAAAAACACACTTCCGAGCAAACCAAAACAGAGTAAAACACGCGCGGGGCAGTCCTGTCCAAACGTCCAAAACACACAGAGGGGATGGGTTAGAGGGGGGCACATAAAAAAAGTTTTGGGGGGAGGGGGATTTTTTGGGCCCGTGGAATTTTTTTTTGTTTTAAAATTTCCGTTTTTAAATTTTTTAAGGCCTTTGTATTAAATTTTTTTTGGTTTAATTGGGGTGTAAAAATTTTTTTTCTTTTAATTTTCCCTTTGGGGAATTTTTTTTTTTTCTTCCCCCCCCCCCCCCATAAGTTTTCTAATGGTCCGTCCCTAGGGACGTGAAGCGGCAACAAAGGCACGTGCAGTGCACACAGAAACATGTAACAGGGACGTGGAGGAGCGATAAACTCACTTGCAGTGCACACAGAGACATGTAACAGCGACGTGTAGCATTCACGTGCAATACACACCCAGGAGACCAGGGACGTGAAGCAGCGGCAAGCTTTCTGTTCGATTTTTTTGCAGGGAATAATCATCATCATCGCCTGTATCATTATCAACATCACCGTCATTAGCCCGTTCCAGGCTTTCAGATAGTGGGGAAGACGCGAAAGTGAGGCAAAAGGGGGCGGAGGGGAGGGGGGCAGTTTCCTCCCGTTTTATTTTTATGTTCGCGCTTTCTCAATCCCCGCGGACCCGACTATCTCGAAGCCTGGACCAGGCTGCACCGTCATCGTCACATTATCATCATCATCATTTCTTTGTTTCTTTGTTTGATTTTTCTCACTCAGTTTGGTGGTGGATCCTAATGTTTGATAAATTTCGTAAGACAGCTCCTTTCATTATCTTTATTTGTATTTCACTGATAGTGAAAAAACCCTCTCAGTACGTACGTCTATATCATTCATACTTTCATTCCAATCGAAATCTAACAAACACAATACTTTCATAATAGCGAAGGTGACCTTTCTCAAACACCAGCCCTATAAATGTTTCGTTTGCCTGCATGCCAGGAACAATCGCGAGGCACGAGTAACCGCTTGCTCCCTTCCAAACTGTAAGTGCCCCATTCCAAGATGCACCATTGTCTTTACTCCATCGCAAGGTCATATTCACACGAAACATCTTATTGGCTGGATTAGAGAAGTACACCGTGGTGCTCAAGCCCAGTAAACTTGCCGCTACAACTGGGTCTTCTAGAGTCTCGTCGACGTAGATATCCGCATGCGCAAAAGACTCTGCGCCATCATAACTCTTGGACATGATGCGACAGTGGCAGTGAAAGTTTCCTTGGTTACGGGAGGTCATCAAAATAACGCCATTATTTAGCTCGATAAGCTGCGTGAGGAAAGTGATGCATCAGCAAATTGCAATTAAAAACTAATAAATAAAATAGAATATGATGTTTTCTATATTTAAAACTTGGTTGTAGTTTCTTTTTGTTGCGGGTGGGTTCAAACATAGCCTGCAGTGGAGGCGTTTTCTTTGGGCGCGCGAATGTTTTTGCTCGCGAATTCGCCATGTTGAAACTCCAAAAGAGAGGAGGAAATGGGGCGAGTCAAAAGGAGCGGGTATGTTGCTAGTATGTATCCGTGTTACTCGTTTGTAGCCGTATATATCCGCGTGTTACTCGTATGTTACCCGTATCTACCCCTGTCGTATTTTAATCAAGATCGCATCAAAGACAATTCCGATTTTGTCCGCTAGTGCAGGAGCATAGTAATGACGGATGTGTTTCTTCCTCTTCCCCAACCGATCGTGATCGCTTGTTTTGGGGAAATTTAACTTCACGCGCTCTGAACTCGTTCCCATTATTTCCCCACTCTCGCTGCTCCTTGCTCAGTTCAGGAGAGATAGCCTAAGGGGGTCGAGGCAGGGTGTGATGTAAATGCAAGAGTTTTGGTGTGTTTGAAGATGACGAGGCTACGATTAATAAAAACTGCAACACCACCTGTGATTCGTCAGGTTCAAATGAACCGCGCTGGGTTATGTTTCCTGCAATCCTCCAGCTTTTACCGTGATCTGAAATGAAAATAGAGGTCTGCGGATTGTATAAAGATGAGGAGGACGCTACGATGAGAACCTTTTTCTACGCGCGCGCACGTAAGCCAGTGTCATTTTGGAGGGAAAACGCGATAGCCGGCGTCATTCTACTACGAGTTTAGCGAGAGTGTCGTAGTGGCGGAAACAAGGTGTCAGATGCTAGAAGTTTTATGATTTTGCGATCGGGAGAGGCTCAACCTCCTTCATTAACCACAACCGTGTTAATTTTTCTGGTGAAAAAAAGTACTATGAAACTTTCCGGGGTGTTGATAATATGCGAAAAAAACTTTTAATATAGTTCTCGTATAGCCGTCCTCGTCCTCGAATCTGAAGGTATACAACGGTCTCTATAAATAATGTCAAACCCAGAGCTGAGGGGCGTGGCCGGAACTGCCCCGTACGCATGTGCCGACCTGAAAAAATGTCGAGGATAAGTAAAAACAAAAACAAACTAAGGGAAGTGATCACAAGGTGGCTGAAAAGTGGCTCATATAACTGATGAATAAACTTCTGAAAAATATGCAAAATGCAGTGTTAATTCCAGCCACGATTTGCCGTAACAGCTACCTAAAGCTAGGCTAAGGGTGGATTTCCACTGTCGCGTAACTTTTACGGCGTACGCAAAGGGGTGCCTTTTCTGTCAAAAATGTTATATAAAGGAGATGATCATGAGGCTAGACCTCTCGGTCGGAGCCTCCCCGTATAAGTACCCACCGGAGAGAGCAATATTTAGACCCTGGATTGAACAATCCAACTTACCGTCACTAACAATGCAGTATACTCCATCATGTCCGGGCATGGTATGACCACATGTGATCAGTCGCCCTCTGTGGGGATCTTGCTTTTTCTAAATTTAACATTCAAAACAGAATAAGGCTGAATAATCAATCTGTGACCGCCGCAAACACAGCAATCGCAAACTTACTATTCTCCGCGATTCATGTATAATCTGCGGTGCTGTACATGTGTCCGCTTCAGTTATAAAAACGGTGGCCTTTTAAAATGCTATATACCCCCCCCCCCCCCCCCCCCCCCCACCCCCTCCTTCTTCCAAATACAAAAAAAAAAAAAAAAACAACAAACACAACACACAACACAAAAATAAAATTAACAACTGAAATGTATATATTGTCTTTATATGGCGGTGTTTTCATGTTTTCCCCTTAGATATAAAAACGGGTGCGTTTTAAAAAGCTATATCCCCCCCCCCCCCCCCTTCCCATCTACGGCTTTTTACTCAAGAAAAAATTAAAAAGATAAAAAAACTCACTCACTCACGTATACCGAATGATTAACTTACTGGCGGTGATTCACAGACTGTCTGATTGACTGACTCACTAGCCTGGGACAAGGCTCTAGTGTGAGGAAAAATGGTACAAAACGGGGTACTGATTGACTGACTGACTTACTCACCTGCGAAAATAGTGATTACAGTTTCTACAGTGAATGCAACCATAATAAGAGCAATATTTTAATAACACCGTACCTGAATGCCAAATCCCGGACCTGGAAGAAATGGAGAAGTACCGATCTGCTCAGATAAGTTATATGGCTTGCTCCATGACAGACCAAAGTCATCACTGCTGATCAAAAATGTGGTATGATATACGCATTTGTGTGCACAGAAGGAATAAACGACAAACACACGATAAACCTCCTCATCCACAATAACTGTCCCAAGGTTCAATCCATCAGGGGCTTCACCATCATCTTCGAGAAAGGAAGTATTACTCCAAGTAATTCCTTGATCTTTAGATCGTCTTATGGCCAGAAATTTAGGTCCAGAATCTCCAGAGCTGTGCTTTCTTCCTTCTGCTAATGCGATGAGGGATCCATCAGGGAGAGAAGTGATTATAGGGATACGATAAGTGTTGACGCCTAAATCACCTGAAAACGCAAATGTTAATTAATGGTTACGTCGAAATGACATATATTCTGCTATTTTTAATGCACTTCCTTTTGCAAACAGGAGAGTTGCAGTTCGCCGGCTGTAAAATTCACCTCGGACTCGACACTCAAACCAAAACAAAAGTGCGTAGGGATCAAAAAGAGGTGGTGCCACATAAAAGATATTTTTACACAATATTTCACCCGTCAAAATTTATGCCGGCTATAAGCGAATGGTTCTTAACATCGATCATGCAACATTACTGGCTAAATAAATAGATAAATGAATAAACAATAATAAATTTTAAAAAAAGGGGAATTGAACGTTTATACGCCTTGATTACATGTAAAGGGAAGACATTTTGTCAACATTTAAAAAGAGCAGTTTCAATAGACTGACAAGTGACTCAATACATTTTGCGATTATCTATTTTTATTTTTATTCGTACAGAAATATGCATTATTCATGTACTTATGTTGAAAAACCTAATCTGCAAAACTTTTTGGTCAATTAACGAATATTGAACCGTATGTGTTTGGCGTGATTCAGGATAAATACTCTCCCCAAAATAAAATCAACGACCTTGACTGGCTCCCGTTACCAATCCTTTATGCCGATTTGGCCTACTAAAAAAGCTCTTAAAGCAAAAAAAACTTTTGCTAGTTTTACCTTGCTTCCATAAGGTTACTTCGTGGTCAATTGTAGGGTTTGAAATGCTTGGGAGAATTCCCACTGAAACGAAAAGGACAAATCCCAAAAGGCTTGACACGGAAGTCGTGGTCGCCATCATTCCATTTCCGGTTATGCGCCTTGCCTCGTTTTCAGTATGTGGATAACTTTCCACTTTCCATGGTCCCCTTAGCGAGGGAAATTTTAAATGTGGATGTTATTATGTTTCTCTCACAAAAGAAATAACGAAAAAATATATAGTAGGTAAAAGGAAAGTCAAATATTTAATTAAAAACATATCTGAGCCAAGCACAGATAGGGAAACGGTATACAAAATAATGTAACTAGCTCACTCTCTATACCCTACTTAGGTTAGAATTTAGACAACTTCATGAAATCACTGCTGACCAGTTGCTGACCACGATTTTTATTTATAGATGGTGACTGTCGTTTAGATTTTTATCGAATCAGTTTTAGAAATGAAAATTAATTTAGTTTGTGGTTATCTCATTGGAATGGTAGTTGCTGCGATGTGACTGCCTGATTGTTTATCGAGCCTCTAATGGAAATCATGGGAGTAAATCTTTCAAGGGAACCAGATTGGCATTGTGAGAAATGCACGTTGATAAACCCTGGAAAGAATGGCACCTGTCAGGCTTGTGGTCTGCGAAAGCAGACCACTGTCAGCTGGATCTGTAAAGCTTGTGCTTCTCGGAACCCCCAGGCTTTAGTTCTTTGTAATAACTGTGGATCGGAAAAGTGTATAGGATCTGCCGTCTTGCCGGACGTAAACACGTCTAATAGTAAACAGTGGACTTGTTCACAGTGCACGTTAACAAATCCTTGGAGAAGCAACACATGTTCTGCTTGTGGACTTGTTGTGAATGATCGTGAGAAAGAGGTGACAAGTAAAGAATCTTCTTCGAATCGAAAGCTTTATCCTGACTTAAATTTAGAACTGTATCCTGAAATTGCTCAACAAAGTTCTGAGGTCCTGAAATGTCCTAACTGCCAAAGTCTTCTTTATGATAATGTTGGGTTGTGTTGTACTGTCTGTCATTCACCGTGTCCTGAAGAGGGTTTTAAGCCCAGACCATTCCCTGAATCTTCAAAGCCACGTGAGTCAAAAGAGCTGGACAATCAAAAGTGGAGTTGCCCTAGTTGTACCTTTGAAAACAAAGCTTCCAATTCAGTTTGCGAAGTCTGTAGAAGTAGTCGTGTAGTTGAACCTAAACCCAGTACTTCAGGGGAAATTACAGATTCATCAGGTACATAAAAAAACTCATGAAATAAAAAATGGTGTACGGTGGCAAATAGGGACAAACACTTCCCAGAATCCAAACACATCCCGGAATAAAAACAACACATCCCAGAACATTCTGGGAAGTGTTTTGGATTCTGGGAAGTGCTTTGTCCTTGTGAACCTCTGGCACTAACTACCTAACACCCCTGCCCCAACCATACAAATCATTAATGTCCTTAAAATTTTGCAATTTTGCTGTCAGCCATCTTGTTTCTCGAATCAGTCCCCTAAACTGGCAAGCTACATCCATGTCAAAAGTCAATTTTAAAAAAACTAAACAAGGAGGGGGTTTTTTTGTACGGGGGAATCATTTCCCATCTATCTCTCTACACAGTGGCCATCTCTGTATGACCACTAAGTATTGTCCCAACTTCACTGACCAATGTAAAAAGGTTAGTAATGACTGTAAGTTGATATACTCCTCAACCAATCAGAGCATGAAAACCTTTAAAACCATTGGTGTAATTCTTGTGATAAAAAAAATATGGAACAATTTATCAGGCTCAAGCACTGGGAATTCTGGTTGGCCATGTCCATCATGTACCCTGGTCAATCCACCAACTACCAAAGTGTGTAGTGCATGCAACACAAACAGAGATGGAAAGAGTGTCAGACAGAACTCCCCTTCTTCTTCTGGACCAGCGGCTAACCCTGCTAGAACTATGCAGCGTCAAAGGAGTGTACCTGTGGAATCCCGAAGGAAGCGTGATGAAAAGCAAGCAAAAGAGCAGTGGATAGACATTGTCAAATACTGTAAAATTGTAAGTATGTAATTAGATTTTTGATAATTAATAGTAAATACAGTCAAACCCCTTTTTACAGACACTTAATTATTACAGACAGTTTACTTTGTCCCTAGGGAAAGAAAGCCTTTATATTTTCTCTAAATTCAACTGGCCTCCTTAGTGCAACCCTCCAAGTTAAAGTTTTTGCTTGGTCACCATTTGCCGACCAATTCTTTTGGTTTAGGGAGACTTTTTTACAAATCAAGATGCCAGCTTCAAAATTTTAGGCACCATGGCGACTAAAATGATCGCAACTTGGGGGGTTGTAGTGTCCATGTTAATGGGGTTTGACTGTGCAAGTACAACTGTGCTACATAATTATTTTAATTTGTAATTAAAGTCCTTAAATTACTTTATTGTAGACTGTGATATTGCTACTACACTTTAATTCCCTTAAGATGTAAAATATACTACATCATCAATATTATCAGATACAGTGGTTTATTTGATTTCAAAACAATCTTTAGTTATGAAAACCCTTGTACAATAGCAACCCTAACTAAAATTATTAAAAACTGAATCATTGGATAATGCAATTTTAGTGCTCTGATTGGCCTAGCCATCTTCGTTTATGAGCCATTATACCATGCTCTCCAAATATGGTAACTGTAAGCGTCTGCGCAAAATTAAAAACAAGCTGAAAATTGGTTGTTTTTACACATAAAGTCAGGAGGAATTCTCAATATTTTGTGGGCGTTTTTTTAATAAAACAATTATTCTACTCGTGCTTATTGGATATGAGATGATTATAGCCAACTTGGTGCTACGTGCCTCGTTGGCTATCTACCATCTCATATCTAACATGCACTTGTGAAATAATTGTTAATTAATCACATCGGTGTCTAATTCAGGCTAAAATGATGTTCACTCTCAGAGTAATATCCAATTTGTGGATGACTCCTTTCCACCTGCTGAAAAGTCCCTGTATCTTCAACCACGATTCTCAGAACACCCCCGAGTTACAAACTGGCTGCGCCCTCAACAAATTCAATCCTTTAGAGGTGGTGGTCGAAGGGTGTCTAGCATTCCTTTAGCTGTATTCCGCAACCCAAGACCTGATGACATCATGCAAGGTGTCCTGGGTGATTGTTGGTAAGTAGAAATAATTATTATAGTATTTAATGTGGCCGAATTGGCTGGAAACATTTGAATCCCACACGCCCTGCATGCACCCCAGGCGTTTGACTCTGCCATGTATGCTAAGTAGGGAAGTTAATGGTGGAGCTCCACGTGTGCAAAGCATGCACAAGTAGAGCCCCATAACTAAAAAAATGTGGTTATCGATTCATCAAAGAAATTTTAGCAATCAAAGCTATAGTTAGCTTTTAATATAGTGAATGATTGCATCTTTTTTGCTCCTGGCAACATTTTGCACTTTATAATAGGCCACTTCCGAGTCCCAAAAACCCTCATTTTCAAAAAGGAGGCCAAGTACACAACCTTTTTTGTGAAAATGAGTTTTATTTGGATGAAAATGAAAAATCATTTCCATATCCAAAGGCTGAGTATTCAACCTCGTTTTGATACAGAGGCCCTTGTGGGGGAACTCAGAAATGGCCTATTGGAGTTGTCTTAGGCTGTTGGCTATTCCAAGGCAATTGTAGCTTGTTGGAACTTATCCTGATACTAAAATAATAGGGCTTAAATAAGTATTTAGTTGTTTTCTAGTGGACAAGGATAACATCTTCATTTTGCCATTCTTCAGGTTTTTAAGTGCTTTGGCTGTTCTAGCTGAAAGACCTGAGCTCTTGGAGAAGATTGTTATAACAAGAGAGGTATCCTAAACTGTTGCAATTTTTTCTTACTTCTTACATGCAATAAATTCTTCACTTCCCATTAAAAATGAAGTAAAATCAATAACAATCTAGTCTTGAAACTAAGAGCACAAAATGACCGGGCCCTAGAGCACTTCCACCTGAATACTTACAGTTTGTGGTTTTTCTTTAGAGTTGTGTACTTACAAGCTAGAACCATCTTGTACATCATAATGAACAGTACCTCATGATTGTATTGCTTAGTAGCTTTCATTTGAACAATCACACTTAGCATTTCTTCCATATACTCAAAAGATAGAACTACCTTGTGCAGTAATGTATAATAAACAGTACCAAAGGAAAGTACATGAAATACTCAGTAGCTTTCATTTAAGTGGTTACACTATAGGGTTTCAATCACAGACTCAAAAGTTAGAACTACATACTGAATAAACAGTACTGTGTGAAAGTACTGCTTAAGAGGTTTCATTTGAATGGTCACACCAAGGATTTCATCCACAGACTCAAAAGTTAGAACTACGTACAAAACAAATAGTACCATGTGAAAGAACTGCTGAAGAGGTTTCATTTGAATGGTAACACCATCGGAGTTCATCCACAGACTCAAACGTTAGAACTACGTATAAAACAGATAGTACCATGTGAAAGCACTGCTGAAGAGGTTTCAATTGAATCAGGTAACACTATAAGATTTCATCCACAGACTCAAAAGTTAGAACCACATACTAAATAAATAGTACCTTGTGAAAGTACTGCTGAAGAGGTTTCATTTGAATGGTAACATCATAGGATTTTATCCACAGGTTCAAAAGTTAGAACCACCCTGTGCAATATAATGAACAGAACTACAGGAAAGTGCTCCTTACTGGTTTTCATTTGAATGGTGAATTTCAGTAGAAAGGCACATGATTGCGTCAAAGGCTGTCATTTTACCCATTTGAACTGTGGTTTCCCTTTAGATAAATAATGAGGGAGCTTACCAAGTGCGACTTTGTAAAGATGGCAAGTGGACCGTAATCTTGGTTGATGATCTGATACCATGTGATCGCCATGGACAACCAGTTTATTCACAGGTGGAGTTAATTTTACTTTGTAATGAAGACCTTAAGATTTTAATGTGTACTCGTAAAGATTGGAAAATTATTTTCCTTGCACTAAAATTGTATTCCTTTAGAAACAGTTAGGCCACTGGGTAGATTCCATTGACCACTCCAGAAAATACCGTAACATACCATAATGCTCTTTGTTTGTCACCCCCAAAAATTTGAATAAGCATTGTTTTCAGTTTCTCTTGGGGCCATTTTAACTCCCAAGAGAAACTGAAGACAATGCTTATGCAAAATTTTGGGGGGACAAAAAAAGAGCATTATGGTATGTTATGATATTTTCTGGAGAGGTCAATTACGATTTTTAGCGGAGCTGTAAATAACCGTCCGTCATTGGACAATACGATATGGACTTTAAGATCCGATGACCGCGACGACGGCGAAAACGTCGCCAAAAAGTGAATTCGCGTTATTTTAATCTTGATGGTGACTATTTCAACTCACTTACAGTTATACTTTGTCAAATGTACGCGAACTCTCCTGGAGTTATTGAATTTCTAAGAACCCGTACCCAAGTTCAGAATGAGAAAGAAAATTTTGTGGTCGCTCAAGTTGTTTACGTCCTCTATAGAACATGAAATTAGACATTTTTCGTCGTAGACGTGCAGTGACGGCAAAGAAATGTAAAAAAAGCGTGTTGCACGTGCAAAGCTGTTGTTGTGCTCCAGTATTTAAAAATGTTAAACCTCCTGGGCCCTGAAACTGTAGCTCTTGCATGTTTCATTTTTAGGACAAAGCTCTCTACCTTTTTTATACTATCTGAAAACAACCCTTTTATATCTAAAGCATACCTAATTTCTCCACAGCACAACCATACACGAGGTCGTTAAGGCTCGGTCTTTTTTTCTGTTTTGTTTTTGTTTTTCTCAACATAAAGCTAACTGGTACACAATTGTTGGTGTTGTCGTTTGGTTCTTGTAGGCTCGTCGGCAGCAGTTATGGGTTCCCTTAATTGAGAAAGCCATGGCCAAGCTTCATGGTTGCTACCAGGCACTCACAGCTGGCCGGTGCATTGAAGGCTTGGCCACATTGACCGGGGCTCCTTGTGAAAGTTTTATGCTTCATGGTAAGTACATTTTGTTGATATTCCAAGTGTGAAATGCTGAAAGGTCATTGGCTAAATGAAGTGCAGTATTAGCCACAACGAACTATTTCCGTTTGTTGATTACTCCCTCCCCACTATTAGTTAACATTTTGTGAACTTTTACAGTAAATTTATGTGTACAAATTAGTTATTGTATTTGCGTTATCCTTCCTCTGACAGCTTCGTTCGATTCATGTCATGCTTTTAAGTTTGCTGCTGCTACTACTGCTGTGGATGTAGTGTCGTTTGTTAATACTTTACAACGTACTGTTACGCTTCATGTACTGTTTAGATTTCTCGTTCATTTGAGAGCCCGGCACCGCTTACTGCGTTTTTTTTGGTTGTTGTTGTTTGTCGGTAAATCACTCTCATTTATCAATTGAAGAAATCGTTTTTCAACTTAAAACGACAAGCATTGTTAGCCTGTGAAAATAGCCGACATTTCCCGACACCATCACTGGTTTCCCCGCGAAATGATGTCAGAGGAACGAGCACAGAATTTCCATACTGATGACGCGCCTCTAACCAGGTCTGAGTAGTGTTTCTGAAAATTTGCATTATCCAATCTCAAGCACTACGTAGATCCGGGGAGTGACTCATCATCAGTATGGAATTTCTGCGTTCGTTTTTCGACCTCAGACGTCATGTTGTGGGGAAACCAGTGGTATAGTGTTGCGAAATGACAGCTGCTTTCTCAGGCAAGCACTTCGTGATTATTGAGAACTTTGTTTCTCCCACAGAGCCTCCAAACCCAACAAGCGATACGGAGCCTATTGACAAGGACATGATTTGGGCACAGCTTTTAAGTTGCAGGAGTGCTGGGTTGGTTTAGTTTTTTCTTTCATTAGCCGGCTTTTTTGCTTAATGCACTGATTTGTTTTTCCCTCTTTACTCTATTTATATGGTGAGATCTTGGCATAGCGTCTTGAGTATCCTGGGAGCAAGCTCTCCATTTTAGGGGAGTTGCGAGAAGTCACGCGTGGGCATCACGCGCAAGGAGACGCGTGAGCGAGTAGCGAGATAAAAAGAGAGCGTTCTCGGTTCCCGCCTCTTCTCTTGGCCTCGCTGCTCGCTCGCGCGTTCGCTCGCCACTCGAAATGTAGAGCTTGCTCGCAGGATGCGCTCTTGACCTATGGTTGTAAAACTTTCGTCCCTTTTTATCGGTGTGAATGTGGTCTCGTGTTTAAAACTTGCAGCTTTTTAATGGGAGCATCATGTGGAGGAGACACGCAGCCACAGGAGGAACCCGTCTTTGCTTCAGTTGGCCTTCAAACACATCACGCATACTCAGTACTTGACGTAAAGGACGTCCACGGTATCAGGTGAACAGATCAACCAACTTTAACCCATTGATCTGGTGTATCGCACTTTCTAATATTGTCTTAAGTAATGGTAAAATTCATGCCAAAGATAACTTGACAGTATTCCTGCTCCCTTGTCCTTCTCAAGATTTGTTAGGTTGGATGCTTTTCTTAAGATTTCGCACGAGCTTTAGTTTCCTGTAAATCATGCTCGTACCCAAAGTCGCGAAACTTTTGGCCAGCGCCACTCTCAATCCCTGGCCAAAAGCATCGCGGCCCCGAGGATGAGAATAATGTCTGATCGTTTCACTGGATCGGATTTCACTTCATTTTTGTAATTGATGATAATTATGCAGGAGAGGCTCCTGAGAAATGTCACTATGACGTCGTAGCAACACCCTACACTCCCGGAAGCGCTTCTGATGTAATAATAAGTTAATGAATTTATCAATTTTTCATAGACTTGTCCGTCTTCGTAATCCATGGGGCCGGTTTTCCTGGACTGGAGACTGGTCTGACGCGTCCCCCCTGTGGACCCCTGAGCTGAGGTTCGAACTCATGGCCCATGGATCTGAAGAGGGCGTCTTCTGGATGTCCCTTGAGGACTTCATGAAGTAAGTATGGCTACATGCGCTTAAAACTTCGGCCCAGTACAGTTCTCTAACGGCGGCCGCCTAGAATGCCAGCCCGGTCATGACAGGGTCTCACCCCCTACAAAATAAATGAATAATCTAACCAACAAACGAATTCACGAAAGAATGAACGAACGAAATAATAATACTAACAAGACTAATAAAAGTTGCCACGAATCTCCCAGTAGCTTAGTTGTTAGCGCACCGACTCAAATTCTGTTAACGTTCGATGCTGTTTTTGAGACACCGACTCAAATTCTGTTAACGTTCGATGCTATTTTGAGACACTTGAAATTTTTTGCATTTGCTATCAAAGAGAAAACGAAGTCGACAAATTAGAATCGTACCCAAGCCATTTGGCTTATTGATATTTCTCTCCAATATCTCCGTAAGGGCGCTATGTTCACACTAAGCCAGATAGCGTTTCGTGCCGACACGAAAGCTACCCAGTATACTGTGAACACCTATCCGATATGTGACTCTCCACTTAAGTGATCGGCGCGTCGCAGCTCAGCTGGCAGCTTCGTTCCGTTACAGAAATCGCGCCGATTCTTATGTGTGAACAGAAGCCTAAGCCTTATCCGGTCATGGTTTTTCGCGCCGACGCAATAGCTATCCGATATAGGGTGAAGATAGCCTAACTTACCGCTACACTTTCTCGCTGATCCATCACAAATCCAATTACTTTCTCTACAGATACTTCGACAGTGTGGATGTGTGTAAGATCAGGGAAGGTTGGGCCGAGGCTCGAGCTAATGGCTGTTTCCCGGCTTTTGCCGGATCGCCAGCCAAGATTGTTCTAGTGAATGTGTTCGAAACAACAGAACTAGACCTGTGTTTGTTCCAAGAGGGAGTAAGGTAAGAAGTGAGCGTTGCATGTATAACATACAAGCTTTTTGTTAGATTTTTGTGTAAGCTTCACATCTCAACGAACCAAAACAACGGATTTCTGTTTATGCTGTTCTGTCTTTGCACAACACCAATGGCAATTTTGAATCATGTGACAATCTTTGAGCATTGTGATTTTTCTTGACTTATTTTGTTGTTGTTGTTCTTGTAGATTGTGTGTGTATGAGTTTTTATTAATGGGCAACGTTTTCTTGAGGTTGTTAACGATCGATGGTTTAGGATACCAACCAGCGTTAAATGAGGTCAAAAGAGATTCGAGTTCTTGAGCACTCGTTCTTTCACTTTCAAACATGTATATATTAAGCATTTTTTTTTTCATTTATGCATTTATTTTCAGGGGGAAAGCAGAGGGCGCGAAATCTCTCCTTGATCTGTCATTCATCGTGTGTCGCACATCACCAGGCACTTCTAGTCCCAAGCCCCACTCACTGGTGTTTCACAGCAAGAGGCAAGTCAAGGCCAATGTCTCGTGCAACGCTATCCTAGAGGAAGGCTCCTATATGATAGGTATGTTACTGATTCCCCGTAAGGTAAAATCCGGCACTCTTGCCTTAAGGTGACGTTACGTGGGATGATTCGCAACAACGATTTTTAGCGCAACACAGCGTTGCAATGTCGCAACAATGTTGCAACCATTCGAAACAATGTTGTAATGCTGTGTTGCGCTAAAAGTCGTCGTTGCGAATCGTCTCGTGTAAAATCACCTTTACTGACGGCCCTCTCGCTCTTTCGGACACTTGACTCGGGGCTCGCCAGTTCAACGAGGTTTTTCCCAGGTGCTCCGGATCCCCCACACCTCCACCCCCACACCCACACTTACGAAAAATAACCAACTGAACTGGAAAACATTAACACTTTAAAAGGAGTTTTCTAGAACTCCTAAGTGTTCAGCCGGTTAAGTTACATTTGCATTTGTTTATTGTTTTTGTTTAGTTTGTTCAGCATTCAATCACTGGCAACCCTTCGGGGCACGAAGAAGCGAAGTGGACGAAGAGCGTTTGCCTAACTACATTCTGGCCGTTTACAGCTCTCGCGGCGTCTTGATCGATCCACTTCCCATGCCAGATTTCTGCTTGGCTGATACGCTCCTCTTATTGGCTACAACAAAGGGAAAGCGACATGAGGTGAATTCAACATTTTTAGAGACCTTACGATCCGACAACGACGACGTCCATGAAAACGTCGCTTAAAAATAGAATCCGCATCCTTTCACTTCTTTTGCGATTTTCCCAAGTCACCCAATTACTCAAAGAAGGGAATTTCGGTCAGAAATTAGGAAAGGGACCGTGCCCGAGTCAGAGAGGGATAATTAACAATTATTCCTCGAGCCCGAATGGGTTCTGAGTCAATAGCCCAAAGATCCAGCTAGTTGGTCAAAAATGTCGAGAATAAAACAATTTTAGCTAGGTAAAAGCTAGACTTTAATCCTTTTTTTCGCCGCCAAAAAGCCCGCGCTTTTCGCTACTAGAGGACTATAACATATAGCCTAGTGGTAGCTCAACCAATCAGAACGCAGCATTGATAATAGACCACTAGTTGGATTTTACTAATATAATTTATTGCCTTACCGTTCCCGTTCTTAAGTACACTTTTACAGGAATTTACTTTCACTGAAATTTACAGAGAAGCGTGATGCACGTGCAGAGTTGTTGTTTGTTGTTGTTGCCGTCTCCTTCGTAGTTTCGTAAGCTCCCCATCGACGTACTTATAGCGTCGTTATTAGACTTTGTTGGAAAATTGCTTGTTTTCATGTACAAATGGGATATCTGCAATTTTCCATTTCAGAAACCGTAAGTATAAGAGGAATGGGTACAAGCTTTTAGTACAACGATTTCTGGGAACGTTGGGGTGTACAAGCTTTTACTTATGATTGGTTAATTGTTGCCTTGAATATCATCAACCAATTATAACCAACGCTTGTCCATCCAAGCGATCCCAGAAATCACTGCACCTAAAACTTGTTCCCATTCTCATTAGAGTTTCTGAAGCGGGCATTTGGACACCTATGTTATGTGTACGTCAATCATAGTTGCTCTTAAATGGGTTTTTTCGTTATCGTCATTATTGTCTTTCCACAATTTATCATGTAAAGATATGTAGTTCTCTACAGTGTTCGTCACAGCAACAAATATGTTGCAGAATTGATGGACTTGAAAAATCGTCATCTACTGTCGGTTCAACCTTGTGCACGGATATTTAGAGAAAAAAGCTGCGTCTTAATGAGAACGATATCACATCTTGGACTGAAATGGGTAAAAAAAAAACAGTAACAGTTATGGTGTCTTAACCAGACATATCTAACAAACTCTTAACAGCGAAATATAGTCACGCCATGGCCATGGATGTTCATGTGCAAACAAACTCATACATGTAATATATATGTTGAAGTTAATTTTTTTTTTCTCAGGTAATTTTTGTTTTTCTTTTGTTTTGGGGTATGATAAAGTTGAAATGAAGTTGATAATGATAATGATGAAGTTGAAACAGAGGAAAAATGAAAATTACTTGAGATAAAAGATTAACTACAACATATACATGTATTTCTTCAAACGCCTGAAAACATATCATTTAAGAATTGTTTTTTTACCTGCTTTCGTCTTTTGTACGTATGTTATGCAGTAACACAGGCTCTCAATTTATAGGGAATTCCAGGAGTGACGTGTTATTACATGGCGCAGGGGATTGCGGGATTGATAGTTGTGGCGGAAAACCGCCGGCCGGATCACCACTTGCTTGTGGACTGTGACTGCTCTGAAAGTTTTAATGTCGTTTCATCCAGAGGAGTCTTAACGACAACTGACTGTGTTCCTCCTCTTCATAAGTAAGTTTATTACACATTGTACTAGCTGTCTTCTCATTGGCTATGAGTCCACAGTTCATTTTAGAAGGCAGCTAGCAGATGAGTGATTCAGTTTAACCTCCATTAAGCGGCCACCCTCGGGGTACCAGCAAGTGGCCGCTTTATGGAGGTTGGCCGCTTAATAGAGGTTCATCATAAACCTGGTCATAAATTAGCGTGCAATCTTTAGCAGAAACATCACTTGATTGTAAAGCAAATAAGCGAAGGGGGCAGCATTACTGGTCCACAATCGGTCGTCACCTTCTTTCTCCGACTGTTTTTCTTCGTCATATTCTTAAAATAAAGCCGAAAGTAGTCTGGCAAGTGCTTGATGGCCGCTTAATAGAGGTGATAACAATGGGAGAACTCTCGTTGAGACGGCAAAAAAAGTGGCCGCGGTCGCATTATAGAGGTCAGATGGCCGTTTAATACGGGTATAATTTCCCATTCTTTTCTATAATTATCTCGGGACTTTGATTTCTGGCCGCTTGATGGAGGTTCAACTGTATTTTTTTTTCTACGGTCTTGAGCACCTTGTAAAACAACCCGCGTCAACTTCCGCTGGCAAGACACCCCCCCCCCCCCCCCCCCCCCCTTTTCACCCGCCCCAACCTCCCTCAAAAACAATCCCCCCCCTTTAACACCCCCCCCCCCCGAAAAACCCCCCCCCCCCCCCCCCCTCTTACCTACTCTTTTCTTTAACCCACTTGATCGCTTATTATAGTATTTAATATACGTATAACTAAAAAAACTATTTTATTAAAGTTTTTTTTTTTTTCTCCCCTCTGCCAACCCTTGTAAACCCCCCCCCCCTACCTCCCCCGGGAAAGCCCCCCCCCCCCCCCCCCCCTCCCCCTCTTAGTAATAGGCCCATCTACCTTTAAACAAAAATTCATCCGGTTATAACCCCACCCCCGATTAAAAATCCCCTCCAGCTTCAGCTTGTATTATGCATTCGATTTTGAAGACGTTCGACGACGTTTTGAAGGCTTAAAAAAGCGCATAGATTCAAAAGGTTTTTGATTAGCACTGCTTATCAGATGTAGCTTATTTTGAAACGCCTTTTTAGCCCAGTTATAACCCCTCTCCTGTTTATAACCTTTCCTAAAACCCCTTACGAAGTAGTATAAGCCCACGGCTTATAACCAGAAGTTTACGGTATATATGGTTAACCACATTTTATTGTTTTTCAGGCAGGTACTTGTACTTTTGACTCAGCTGGAAGGCACGGAGGGGTTCGCTGTTTCACACAAACTCAGTTTTCGTATTTTGTCTGACAATGGTTTTGGGGCATACGGCGCTCATCATACTCCCCAACTGACATCTGAACTGTTTGGACTGCACAGTGCAAGACCTTTATGACAATGGCCTACGGTACAGTGACTAGTAAAAGTTAAGACCCGTCTCCAATCTTATTCCTAGGGCGTATCCGGTCTTGCGAATCGTCATACCCGCCATCTCTGGGGTTAAAAAAAGCATTGTCCCCTGTTTTTCAGGGTGCGAACAGCTGTAAACAGTACGCTGGTTCAGCATGAACGCTAGTTCATGTATGTGCCACTTTCATCGGCTGTTTGCATAAGCTGGCACTGTTTTATATATTAGTTTAGGCATGACGGTTTAATTTTCTTTGGAACTGAAGATATTTTCCTGGGCAGATGAGCTTATTTAATCTCGTTAGTAATAAATTTTCTTTCACTATGACCGAATAGTTATGCGAATAGACCGACTCACGACAGACAAGGTCGCCCGTTAGCCATAAGATGGCCTTACACCATACATCCTTCCTCGTCTATCAGCTCATCTCTCAACGGCTTTCTTGAGCACACTTGGTGGGGGGTGGGGGGGGGGCTTTTTTTCCTGCTAAAAAAGAAAGCATAATGGGGAGAGGAGCTCGTAGGAGAGATAAAGAAGGATGGTAAATAATAATAATGATAATGATAATAATAATAAATAGAGTTATTTGTGTTTAGTGGCACAACCATTCCATGCGAACATTTTAAAACTGTTTTAGATTCTCATTGTACACAAAATAAATCTGCGATTTTTAAACTTTTGATTCTTAATAATCTTGAGTTGGTATATTCCGTTTTGCTCGGGGCAGAAAGCGTTACTCATGAAAGGCAAGGGAATTAGTTTGCTGCTTTTTTTGCATCAACGTCCACCACTAGGTGCAAGTGTTTGACACTCTGAATACTCGTCGATACTTGACTTTCGGCAAATAATACCTTATTGGGCAGTGTTCAAGTACATTAAAAAATCAGTAAGTTCGTTTTATCTTGTAGTTGACTAAACTGGAAGTATTAATTTAGATGTGTATCAAGAACAGACATTTCATAGTGAAGACACACAAAATTTAAGCTTTTCAGTCGTTTTCGTTTATTTCTACCTCTTTTTCTACTTTGACACTAGTATAGTATGCCCAATATCCCTCTTAGTATACGACAGGCAACGTACAATTGGCTTTTTTTCAACACTCTTTGCAATATCGGCACTTAACGAATGAAAATATTACCATGCGGGTTCGCTACGTTTTTGACATGAGACAAGCCATTGCGTCCGCATGGGTCATGTGTGGGCCAGTTAGGGCTCTGTGTGGAGCTCTCCCAATAGTAATAGGTCTTCAACCAGGTTGGACTCTTCGAGTTGTAAAGATGTGGACCGAAATTTTGCGCAGACTCTTTGGTCAGCACGCGAATTTCATCGGGTGCTGTGTTGTAACAGACAGAGGCGATGTTTTTAACAACGCGGCAACTCAGAGTCCCCGCTCTGTACTCCACCAAGCTTCCACTGCCCTCAGCGCAAACAACCCAATGGTTGATGTTAGACTTGGCCATGAATTCATGACCAATTTGCTGCCACAAACTGAAGTCCATGGCACCCCATATAGTCTCACTCAAGGGCGTGGTTCTCGATTCCAGGATGTCTCCATTTGCTGGCCATGAAGGTCGTGGCGTTACTGCGTTACTTCCAGAGTGAAAATTCCTGCATTCAATTGAAGAGAAAGAAGATATCACCTGGTTATGTAGTGACAAAATTTACCTATAAAACATTGGCCTCATTCTTTATAAACGTTTATTCTCATTATGAACTTCCAACTGGACCTCCATTATGTTTTAGATTTAGCGCAAATAGTTAAAAAGAACCTCGAACCTTGAACTTTCTGTTTCCGTTACTGACCAAAAAACTTACTGATAATTCGTGAATCTGTAACTGTAAACTAGCGTCCAGCCTCCACCGTCTGTTTCTTGGTCGCAGTAGGCCTGGAAAGCACAGCCTCCATCTGGGTTTATCCAATACAACCCTGACCCACCCTGTGGGTTTTCTTGTTTGATTACTTTACACGACTTGCCAGGGTGATTTTTGTCTTCTCCCGTCTGTACTGGTGGTTTGGTTGTAGTGGAGAGTGGGGTTGTACGCGGCGGCTTGGTAGGTTTTTGTTTCCCTGAAAAAAAAGAGATTTCGAATCGTGTTTACCCCGAACGGTAACTTGCGTAGCAGGCGCGTAATAATAGGCTGATTTAGCAACAGAACGCGAACGTCATTTGACGACGGAAAAGCGCGCGAAAACGACTGAACTCGACTTCCGGTGCCCACTTTGTCGCTCTGCCATTGGTCAAGCTAGTTCTTTGATTTGCGCGTGCCGTCGTCAACTGACGTTCCCGTTCTGTTGCTAAATCAGCCTAATATGCGAAAAAGAATGGGGGGCGCCTGTTCTTTCTTGCGCCTGTTGCTTCCAAGCGCAGGCTAGCCAAACAGCAAACTTCAATTTGTACCACGTCACCAAGTATTCCCTCTACTTGTCGTATTCTATTAATTATAAGTATTCTACACTTTCATGTCAGGTTCATCCTTAAAGAACTACTTGGCACAGTTTTTATCCGTTTATCTCCTAATTTGAGAAATTGTCTACTTGAATGTGACGTCTGCCGTAAAAGCGATTCTAAAACTCCCCTCAAAATGCCTTTTTTTTCAGCATAAGTGTCATTAAACAGAAACTTTTGAAAGAGTCATAATTTTTCTATTCTAGTTGTACCCCTTAATTTGCGATCAGAAGGCAAGCTTTGCTTAAAGCGTTCTTGCGTTGAGTGAGGAGGTTTTATGGATTGAACGTCTTTACGAGTTTGTTCATGGCGTTTGCATGAATCTAAATGAGGTGACTACTTAAGGAAGGGCAATTAAGTTATGTCTTTGTTGTTGTGGTTGTTGTTGTTGTTTTTTTTTCAATCGACCTATGTAAGAGAATGCCGATTCCGGAATCCGAAATCATGGGCATTGGAATCAGGAATACAGCACAAGGAATCCGGAATCCAAGTGGAAATCCAACATGTCTGTAAGAAGTGAAGGAAATGAAAAAGAGGTTCAGGCAAAAAAAAACTGTTTTGTAAAAAAAGAAGAACCTTGGAGGCAATGGCTATCCCCACCCTACCCCGTACGCCGAAGGGTCAGGATAAAGTTACAAGGCCTGAATTGTCTAACAGACCAAAAAATGATCATGTTAGAACTAAGTCTTAATTTATGTTTGCTTTAATTCTGATAATTTATACCCACTCACGTACTTGCAAAACTGCAATAGCGAGAATTTCCAATAGGGGCCTTTGTCAGCTGATAGACAAGGACTCTATTCGTGCATCTCTTCACTTTGATGGTAACTTTGTAAGCACAGCAGTTACCACCTTTCGAAAAACACACTTTTCTTGTACGGACGTTTCCTTTTATTTGAGGATGACGGCCTATCATAAAGCCAGGAACGCTGGTGCCACAATGTATTCCCGTTGGACACTCTTTCTCTTTGCTCTTTAGCCTGTGTGAAGAAGAATTTGAAAGATATGCATGGTTTTGTTCCGCGGGTGGTATCTATTTTTGATCACGCGAAAGAAACGAAAAATGCAAAAAATGCATTCTTTAGCGCGTGATAACAATATAACAGAATTTATAATCGATTAAATGCATAATGTAGCTAGTAATCTAGCAAGCCAATAGAAATTATTATTAAACGAAACAATATATTCAGACATGTCGCAATGCCTTTGCGTTGGTCTTTTTCGGAAGATTAAGAGAAACAATTTTCTTACAACGAAGTCCAGTATTGAACACCCCGAAGTGAAAGAGAAATGTCTTGAAATTAACCAATACTTCACCAATGGCCACCCGTTCTGGCATTTCTGCACACAGTAGGCTTGTACACTGTTCAGGTTTATGAGCAAGAACATCCTCAGACGAGCGGGAACCTATGTGGCCTAATAAGTTCCCGCCTTTTGAAAAAAAAAGCCGTAGCGATACTCACGCTGATGACACCTATTGATATTAATGAGCCAACCAGAAGCGCATTGGTTCTTGAAACAAAAGATTCTGTTGTTTCACTCGTTACGAATTGCATAACTAAAACAATATTTGTAGACAGTGATGTCTCCAATTCTGCGGGTACCTGTTTGCCATTTTGTATCCTGCTTCGCCGGTGATTCGGTACCAGACTCCTGCCTCTAAATCGTCCCTGTCGCTCTTCCCAGTTTCCTTAGTGAACCTCAGTTCTCGGTCAGCGTCCCACAGTTCAATATACGAAGAGCATGGATCCTTGCCTAATATTAATGCACAAAGCCATAAGTACAGCAGGATTGTTATGAATTTCTGGCAGACTGTTGTTAGATCATTCAATGTGTTGTTGCTCATATCGCAGTTCTTATTTGTGACGAGGGAGTGTCACTCCACACAATTTTCTAACTGGTGTACCTATACCGTTTTAACACCAGACTTAGCCAAACGGGCCCGGTTCCTTAAAGACCGATTAGCGCTAATCCAGAATTAAAATTTGTTCCGTTTTTGTTTTTTACCTTCATGTGTATTGCTTAGAGTAACATTTTTTGTTATCATTACTTCATCTCGGAGTGAAAGCTCGACAGTATTTTCTAAGCTCGAGTTGCATGTTCTTAGACGGAAAAAAATTGCTTAAAATTTTGCTTAATCCTGGGTTAAACTTAACCATCTTTCGAGGTACCGGGTCCCGGTCTCTAAAATAATATTTCCTTGAGTCTGGATATCTAAATTGCTGGAATTGCTATGGCCCGGACCTGTATATGGTAAATTCCATCGATCGATAGACACTAACATGGCATTTTATAAAATTTTTTGCGAATTACTGACCTCCAAGAATTGATGGAGTGAACGAAATTAGGGCTATCATCACAAGGAACGTCATTGCTCAATGATCTCGGCAACAGGCCAGGCTGTTAAGTCTCTGTGAATGAAGAAGCAAATTATTGTCAAAAAGGTAAAAGGCCTTGTGTTTCTCCTACCCAAAGCCGACCCAAAGGTCTTAATTGCTGATGTGGCTGAAAATTTTTTAAAGTTCTTTCGGCAATTCCTAAAAACCCTTAGAACTAGCCGAAATATAAACAAAGCACAATAAAAGTGCAAATCGAAATGTCAAGAGAAGACGGTAAAGTTAAAGTGGGCATAGTTAAGTAAAGGTAAAACAGATTGAATTCGCCGGGGCAGCGAATTTGAAAAAGCGCTCCCTGACACTAAATCAGTCCTTGACCAAGCGGGATTGTTTTGCAAGTCGTCGTAAAAAAGACAAAACGGATCTCCGTTTGAATAAAGACAAAGCATGGTTAACGGAGAATCAGAAACGTGATTAAAATATGATAAAATACAGTCATACCCCGCTTTACAGACACCCACTTAATACGGAAACCTCATTATCATATTAGGGACAGTTCGCTTTGTCCCTGGGGAAAGAAAGCCCTTACATTTTCTCTAAATTCAACCCGCTTAATACAGACACCCCGTCAATATGGACACTTTCTATGGCCCCCTCAATGTCCGTATTAACGGAGTTTGACTGTATAAAATACAATATAAATGATATGAAACAAGCCGCGAGGATCCGATCCTCTTCATGTCACCACTGGAAAAACTGGACCGTTTACAAAGATAACAAAATGTCTATAATTTCTAAATTTATAGACTTTTTATAAAGGCGCAAATCTTCCCCTCTTAGCTTAAAACAGCTCATTGATAAAACTGATCAAGACTTGAGAAGTGTCAAAGGGACAGCCCGAATAAGGATCACATTTTTCTTGAGCGATTAGCCAAAATCATTTTTTGAAAAGTGCCACTTAGCATCATCCACCTGCAAAGTAATTATGAATATAGGTGATGAGTATATTTGAACTTCAGTGAGCAGTTGGCGTTAAAACGTATGTAACAGAGAGTTTTTTTTAAGAGATTCACGTTTACAGCAATTGGCAAACGTGAATTTTTACCACGTGACCTAGTTTTTTCCCTTAATTGTCGTTTACTGTTTATTTCTTCTACTCAAAAATAAGTAGTTTCACGCCAGTTTTACCCATAAGAATTGTTCTGGACAGCTTTTATCTGTTTATTTTCTATTCTGAGAAATTCTCAACTTAAATCTGACGTCAGTTGTCGTTTGCCGTAAACATTCACGTATACGGCAAACGGCAAACGTCAGATTCAAGTTGAGAATTTCTCAAAATAGAAAATGAGCAGATAAAAACAGCCCAGAAAATTCTTATGGGTAATAAGTGCGTGAAACTACTAATTTATGTGAAGAAATAATGAAGAATACTGGAGGCGACAAGCAAAGGGGAAACTTGGTCGTGTGGTACAAATTCGCGTTTGCCGTTTGACACAAACGTCTTCCTTAACCTCTCTAATCTATCTATAGAGTAAAGGAAAAAACACGTTATTGAAACCTGTGGCAAGGAAAAGGAAGAAAAGTAACTGGAAGGAACAGGGAAGAAGTATATGAATAATTTTGGTTGAAAATTTGCACATTCATGTTAGTAAACTGTACAGCTGTACAAGTTGCGGATTGATCGGATTAACAAACAGTGCCTCATTTGTGTGTGTAATTGAAATTATTATCGTTAACTCGGCTTACCAGTTATGGGGTGTATCTCAGTCTCACAGATGATACTGATGCACAGTGCTTCAGCTGCCTCACCTCTCACTAAATAGCAGTGTGGATTGAATACACAATTGCTCCAAACGATCTTTGATAAAAGGTTTCGCTGGTTGTTTCATAGCAATATAAAACACAAGATGGAAAAATTCTCCCGTCTGAGGGCTTATTGTTTGCTCTAAGTAGGGAGCAAAACAAATTAGATTTAATGACAAGTTCGTTTTAATCGTCGCTATTCCTGCTAAGTAATTGAAAAGCGTTTGTTGCAATATAAAACACAAGATGGAAAAATTCTCCCGTCTGAGCGCTTATTGTTTGCTCCAAGTGGGGAGCAAAACAAATTAGATTTAATGACAAGTTCGTTTTAATCCTTATTCTTGCTTAGTAATTAAAAAGCGTTTGTTGCGTATAATTGTTTCTAGAGCACCCTGTTTTAGGTAATTTTTATTACGACCATTGAATACACTTCAAGTACAACTTCTTGACTTCTCGATCAAACTATTTGCCTGCTTAGTCCTTTCAAAAGCGCATTTTATGAAGCATTTTATTTTTATGGGCACAAGCTTGAACAGAGTTTAAATCTCAAACAATTAAACCAGCGTAAAATGGAAAATTACCGATGTTTAACACATTTTTTTCTTTCCGATTTCATCCATGTTCTCCAATGTACCAGATACAATCAAGTCCATTTTTTCGTACAGGATGGGGTCCGATTGTCACTGCGTCCAACCTCGTTCCCAGTGTCTCTCTTTTCACCTTCCCCAGGAGCGTGGGAACGAGATTTGCGCTCCGTCTTCCCATTACGTCACTAAATAACCCTACCTGTCCAAAGAGCGATAAACATCGATTTTTTCCTAGCTACATCCTTACCTTATTAAGACAAAAAGGTTCTGAGAATTAGTAAAAATGGTCACCTTAAAATAAGAAACATGCTTAGGGAAAGTTCATTTAATATGACAAGGGGGGGGGGGGTAAAGATATTGAGGGGGGGCTCCGAAAATTTTTAGACACCCGAAGGGGGGGCTCTGAAAAAATTGTTGCGCTAGGAGGGGGGGCTCCGAAAATTTGTATACTTCAAAACCAACACATGACATCATCATACAGATCGGATGGTTTTCAACTCAACAATTTA